AACTGCTAGATTAAAGTGACAAAAGCTGGGTGATGAACACGAGGCGCCCTCCCGGATAAATCTCGAAGCATGGCAAGAATGCTCCTCTCAGAAGAAGCAGGTGCATTCCGCCAAGTGAAGGCGCAGGACGCAGAACGGCAGCGACGCACAGCCGCCTCTGGACCGTAATCACCTGCTCCAAAGGAAAACACCCCATTCTAAGACACTGTGGCTCTTAACCTGCGTATCATCGTCATAATAACTAGATTTTCTCTCAACTTAAATCTCGTCTGCTAACCAGGAGGATGAGAGTGCCGTGACACAGCGGGACGCATTTGGAAAATTCTGTACTGACAGGACGAAAAAGTCAAGGATTGTTCTGTTGGCTTTTTTTGTTTTTATTTTGCAGCTCACTCTTATTAAGGACAAAATTATCTGCAAGGATGGCCGGGGCACTCTTCTCAGTGGACTCAGTCTACATAGGAATGGAGGTGGTAATTGCTGTGGCGTCTGTAATCGGGAATGTGATGGTGGTCTGGGCGGTGAAGATTAATAAATCGTTGCGAGATACCACGTTTTGTTTTATTGTCTCCCTGGCTCTGGCGGATATTGCAGTGGGAGCACTCGTCATTCCTTTGGCCATTACTATCAACATCGGACTCCAAACTCACTTTTACAGCTGCCTGCTTGTGGCGTGCACGGTGCTGGTCCTGACGCAAAGTTCGATCCTGGCCCTCTTGGCTATTGCAATTGACCGCTATCTCAGGGTCAAAATCCCGACCAGGTAACGACCTTTTTGCAACCCAAAGGATCAAATTAAGGACAGGATTGAGTCATGCGTTAATTGTGTAATGTGGGGAAGTGATGCGAATGAAAATAGCATAGATTTGTTGGAGGTACTCACCAGAAATGATAGCAGAAGTCAGCACAGTTCCAGTGCTGTTTCATTGATTTCTGCATGGGTCTCGTTTCACTATACAGGAAGCTGCCAGTCTGCCAGTTTCTTTATATGCATATATATCCGCCTCCCCATGACAGCTTAACAGAGCAGGGCCAATCTACTAACTACTTTAATTAGTCTTTCTGTCATCACGATCTCTAATGTGCTGAAGAGGTGCACAGCGACACAGAAGGGGTCAGCTTTGCTTCTCCCGCTTTGTATGTAGTGTACACATCATGTCATGCTGGGGGTAAAGTAAAAGCACAAGCAGTGGTGGTGAAAAGCTAAAAGGACAAGCTGAGAAGGAAAGAGAAATTAATTATTTGAGAATATTGCCTATGAACGCCTCAGACCCTTGTCCCCTGTTAAATCCCATTAAGTCTTCCAGGCTTACAGGAATATTCTGTCATCAGTTTTAACTTTTGACTTTTCCATGTAAAGCTTGTCTGTCACAGCAGCATCTGGGCGTCCTTGCTCGGGTTATGCAAGTAGGAATCTTCTCAGGAATTGTCACTTGTTTCCAACACACATTGCAGAGACTATATTTAACAATATGCAAATGCAGCATTGTAACATTTTCATAAATTACATAATATGCTGCATGCTGTACCACACTCCCTGTTTTTAGATCAGAACCTGATCTTTTCCGATCTCTTTCAGGCTCAGTTTTTCGATTATTTTATTTATTTTTTCCGCACTTCTGACACAGACCTCACTTAAGGTCTG